TCTTTGAGGAGCTGTGCAGGTTGAGACCCTAGCCACACGGAGACGGTAACAAACCGAATTCGATCTCAAAAAAGTCTTCCGTCCACACGCAATCTGCACCAGAAACACTGGAGACTTGGTACATATGCCGGGCAAAATTATAAAAGTGCCGGTCAAAGGTCTTCTTTGTTATTTATTGAGCTTTAAAACAAATGAATAACGACTCTATATAATAATATACGGAGTCTCTCTTTTCCTCCCCCTCTCCTGACAGCCCGTCAGTATTTTTGTTATCAGGAAATGATCGTATAGGGCGTAATCACGGAGCTGTTTGGCCCCCCAGAGCGTTGCGTCTGCAGATCTACCCACCTTGGGACCCGTTATCGTTATAGTTTCTGCGTTTCCCTGTCGGCCTCGTGTGGCCGAACCGTCTATATGATAGAGAACTAGCGGATACGACCCGTATCGTTTCCGTGTGGCTGCAGCCTGAGTCAAGTTCACTGGGACCAGATCCTGGATCAGCTGGCTACATTTGGTATTCACACGGATTAACACATGCATGATGGGATGAAGAAAGAGATGTACTTCCTAATCGGGAATGTGTTTGCATGCATGAGTGTGGCCTATGATTAAGCTCAAGCATGTACAGCATATATTGACTTTAGTGTGGTCAAGGTAAAAACAAACACTGTCTACTGTACTCCTCCACAGAATGTGAAGCCAAACAGTAGCAGCAGTGTGAGAATGAATGGAGTCACAGAGGCCTTATCTTGATGCTGAGATGCCAATGCAGAAGTGACTTTATGGACACTTTTCCAACCATGCCCTTCAGACCTACACCGAACCAAACCAGATGCATGTGACACTTTGAATTCCAACATCTCGTGCTACGCATCAAAAAGTCAGGTGATAAACCATGACATTGAGCTAAGGTCAAAAAGGAGCGTGCTCAAGAACTCATCAGCCGATTCCAGTCACAAGACTTACTCTCTGCAACACACACACACACACACACACACACACACACACACACACACACACACACACACACACACACACACACACACACACACACACACACACACACACACACACACTCCTTTCGCCTCTGTCCCATAGCACTAATGTAGTCTGTACTGTTGACATGATGGTAATAGACAAGAGGAGCATCACTTCTATAGCCATTCTCATTCAAATGTATTCTATCATCATATAGTACAGTGTGTGTGTGTGTGTGTGTGTGTGTGTGTGTGTGTGTGTGTGTGTGTGTGTGTGTCAGGATAAACGGTGCAGAATAACCCTAGGTGTTGTCAATAGAAAATGTCTTACAAGGAACAGGATCTTTCATGAAAATGTGATGCCTGTTCGAATACATCTCAGTAAAACTACAGATGCTTCAGTGTTTGTTCCTTGACCATGACTCATTTGTGTTTCAGTCACAAACCTGACTTATTGAGCCTACTGCCAGCTGAGCTCTGCTGCCAAATAAATGCGGGTAAATAAAGCCAGTGTGTGTGTGGAGTACAGCTCAGGAGTCCTCCATTCTTTCACAGAATCCTCCTGAATGTGATCTCCAAAATAAGCTGCGATGCTCCAGATTGAAACTAGAACAACCTCTCTTTGTAAGTCTCTCTTTCGCTGCATTCAGACCTCTTCTGTGTCTGTCAGTTTCACTAACACAGGTTAAGTTCTGTATTTAGGGGGGAATCCCCTAACACACATCTACTACTGATTCACGTTTATTCTTAGTTGCAATACTGGAGAAAGTCATGCCTCTGTTAACAAAATACACCACACAACAAGGATGTGTTTCAGTGCTTAGTGAAACCTCTTAATCCAAACTACATCCTGTCAGAGAAGGTCATAAGGTCATATTTTAAACCACTGTGATGATACATTATTGCCTCTGTTCTACAGCTACTACACCTGGAGATAAGGCTTGCTCAAGGGCACTGCAGCCACAATCTAAATACATCTGCATAAATCTGCTCTCATCCCCATCTCCACTGCAGGACAATAAAGACACAAAGTTGTGGTATCAGTGGCTTGGGGTCCTGTCTGTCAGTCCCCCACCACCCACCCCCACCACAACAGGGCCGCA